AGTTGAAAAAAAAAAACTTTGACAATAACAATGATAAAGCTCTTTCTCTCAAAAGATGGAGTGTCAAAGTTTATATTAGATATTTGTTCACCAATACAATTTTTAAGTATTAGGCTAAGGATCCGGTTTCTATGCGGCCAAGCCTGCACATGTATAAATGTAGGCCACTTAAATAAATCTATTTTTTAAATGGATTTTAAGACTTAATTTTCAAGGACATGTAATCTCTAAAGATCATGAATATGAAAATATAAATAAATTTAAAAAATTAAAAATAATAATTCTAGTAAAAAAACATTTGACATTTAGTTTCTATTGTTTTTAGATGGAACACCTACTTGCATCTATCTTTAAGATAGGTGCTTTACACTTTTTGAACCACATATGTAAAAATGCGATCCAACCTACATGAAATAATTTTCGCTAATACTTAGCTTTTTCTCTCTCTCTCTAAGTGGGGGGCTTGCCAATCTTCTCTCTTTAGAAGATGTCTAATTAAATAAGAAAGGGGGATGCTTTCTCTCTCTGTATATTCCATCCAATTTTATTACGATGAAGAGGCTGCCAAAAATGCTGGCTCTCTCTGCCCATTTTTGTAGAGAGAGAAAAAGGCCTATTTCCATTCTCTTTTTAAATAAATAAGAAGATGGATGAGAGAGAATCACGACATTTACCCAAACAAGACTGAAGCACCCATGATCACTGATGAAAGAAAGCGAGAGAGAGAGAGAGAGAGAGCCATGCTATTTACCAAGAACGTTGAAAAAAGCTAGGTTGTGGTGACAATGTTACTTTTATCAAGGAAAAGGTTGAAACAAAACCTAAGTCTTTACCTTTTTAAAGGGTGCGGTTTGTATAGAGCTGAGGCTCTAAACAATCAAAGTAAAGTGTACATTTAAATAGTGTCAAGAAATATGGTTTTAATATTAGAAATTTTTGTGATAGCTTTAAAATATATTTTTATCTTTATTATAAAATTTAAAGTACAAAAAATAGTGCAGATAAAGCAGATCTATGAAAATCTTGAAAATTGACGGTCAAAAAATGTGTTACAAGATGCATTATTTTTGGAACTTGAAATCCATTTTTTCTCATATCCATGCATCTTGATTTTGAGATGTGATCAATTTGGAGATACTTGAGTATCAAAACACACTCTTCTAGTGAAATTTTGAGGTGGCCTCTAATTTGATTGTTTAGAGCTTCGGCTCTATATAAACTTATTCCAAAATGAAAATAAAACCTAGGTCTTATGAAAAAAAAAGTAAAGCCGACCAAAAATTATAATTACGTTTGTGAAACAAATAGGATTTCATGCCATAAAAACATTGTATTTGTCACACTTTATCTAAACCATCTATTTACAAGTATTTGTGGATCTGTGAGCACTATACAATTTTTTGAGCTAATCAGTAGTGGAAATAAATTTTAGAGCCATCATAGAGATTTTTTATGGCTGAAATATTTTCTGACCAAGAGATGACGCCTTATTTTTGTTATAATAAGGCCTAAGCAATATAGGAACTGCATCCATTAATTAATAGAAAAAGTTTATATAAGGTTGCAACCTTAAAATATAAAAATAAAGGCGCACATCAAAAATCCATTGGAAGAGGTCGTTTTAATGTTAAAACCATGTAATTGATCATCTCAACATCGAAATGTATGAATATATATAAAAAAAATTATTTTGAGTCCTAGAAATAGTGCATCTTGCAATACTTTATTTATTTCAAGATTTTCATATATTTATAGATGTACTTGATTTTAATCATTTATAGAGTTTAAAGTTTTATAATTAGAGATAAAAATAGATTTTTCAAATAATCTTAAAAATTTATTACACCAAAATTATATATTTGTAGACACCCCATTTTTAAAACTGACAAATTCGGTGATATGCTTGAACCCTTAGGACCACATTATCCCAGTAAACCCCCTGAGCACAGATCACTATAATTCATACTGTTTGGCATGTGATCCAGAATTCTGCAGAATACCCTGTTTTAGTAAAAAAAATTCATTAAAAAAAAAAAAACACCTTGTTTTTACCCAAATTTGGCAGGTAGTATCACAAGAGCCCGTAGATCCCCGCATAACTGGAATTTAGTTATTTTGGAAAGATTTGGTCTAGGCGACACTACCAGTGTCGCCCCGATTATGACTGCCCCAAATTAGCAGTTTCCGCATGCTAACCCCTCCCGAATCATTTTTGTCGAGGTTCAATGAACCTAGACCATTTTAGTATGGGCTTTGGACCACCAAAACGGCAGTCTAGCCTAGGAAATATTCTGGTTATGGTATGTTATCCATTCCAAACGATTTTCAGCTTATTACAAGGTCATTTCATGATCATTTTAGGTTAGGGACTCTCTAGACTTGATTAGTTATTGTGCCTAGAAAACCTTAGAGATTATGAGACCTAATAAAATCCTAGACCTAGGAAAACCCTAGCTTTAGGTCACTTGGAGCCTATGATCAAGAGATCTATCTAACCAAACCAAGACCTTATAAAAATCTGAAAAGAAACAAAAAGGACGTACGGCATAAATTCAGCTGGTCTTGATACGGGCGAGGCCTTAAAGACTCAGGAGTCTTGGGGCAACTGGCCCAATCTGGTACATTTTTACTTTTTCTTGTGTTTTTATTTATTTATTTATTTATTAAAATTAAGATTTCATTGCTTTTTACTAATATTCCGTATTTCGAATTAATGTTGACTCTACCGCTGATCTGAGAGCAAACTTGCTCGTTTTTTAGTAAATATAACTTCAGATCAGAATTTGATTGTCTCACTCTCTATCACACTTTTTAAAATCAGTTTGTGGTACGGATTTGAGGGAACTCCTGCTGAAAGTCACTACGATTGTGAACAATATTATAATAAATTTTGGAAGCATGCCATAATTGGATTGTTTAAGGTTACAACCTTATACAAATCACACCCTTAATTAATTAATTAAAATAAAATTGTTTCATGCGAGCTGAACCGCATTCCTACATATGCGGTCCGGAAAATGCAAAGCATCCAAATTTAAGATGGATGCAAGTAGGTGTTCCATCTAAAAATAATGGAAATTAATGGTCCAAATGTTTTATTACTAAAAAATATTTCTAATTTTTAAAATTGATTTATTTTTTTATATTCATGATCTCCATGTTAAAGATTACATGTTGTTAATAAATAATTATCAAAATCTATCTCAAAAATATATTTATTAAGAGGCCCTCATTTCTACATATGCGGGCTTGGCCGCATAGAAACCGGGTCCTTAATTAGAAATTTAAAACCAAGAGAGAGTGGATGTTGTTTTTAGAGAGAGAGAGGACGTTGTTTCTGGAGAGAGGAGGTGGTTTTTAAAACCGGTGGCCCAAAACTAGTGGCACACTCGTAATTTTCCACAAACAGAAAACACGTCGCCGTTATTAATTGTTGTCATTAAAGGCAAAGATCAGTGGCAATTTTGTCCCATCTAAATAATTGGGCAACTCCCCCCTCTTTGTCAGCCAACATGGGAATCGTACGGCTGCAGATTTGCTACAAAAAATCGGACGGCCACTACTCTCTGATAAGTAGATCGACGAACAGAAATCTTGGGCTCCATGGCGGGAAACGAGATATTTCAGCGAGAGACACGTATGGGCCCACGTCGGACAATGACCGTGGATAAGCGGGACCCACACGTGCGAGCTGTAAGTCGTTAACTGACACAAGAATAAATATAAGACTAAAATGCCACTACCTATTTTATAAATGACTAAAGAGCCCCTTCATTTTTATGACACGACCGTTTTGGCCCCCCTGGGAAGATAAAATCCCACAAAATATCTCGCCGATTTTCACCAAAATTAGGAGAGAAGCCCAGAAAAACCCACCCCAAACTTTTAACCACATTTTACTTGCCCTATGAATTCCACCGAAATCTACGAAATTTCGTGGTGGCTCCTCTTTTACAAATTTGACCAAAATGGCCTGATAAATTTTTATTTTATTTTATTTTAAAGTTCAGTGGAGAAGAGTGCCTTAACAGTTGAAGAAAAATTGTTTTTAAAGTCGCCATTGTTGGGGATTGAGATTTGTTTTAAAATTGCCCGGATCCGGAATTGTCGATGTAGCTTAAGAGTTGTTTGGGGTCGATCCGGTACTTTGTCATAACAAAGGCAAATTGGGTTTAACTTTTTTGGGATTTCTCACACTTGAGAATCAATTCGGTTCTCTAATCTTAACCAAATTGGACATGAAGTAATATGAAGCACTTAAAATCTACCAAGCCAACATTTAAGAGACGCTAAGTTAATCATCTCGGATCCGAGATGTTTAGACATGAGTAAAAGCATGTAAAGTTTTTAAAATAAGATATCTTGCTGCCTGGATTATTTATTTTCTAGAGTACGTCAATGAGTCTTTTTATATTCTCATAGGTAGGTTTGCACTATTTATATTTAATAATTAGGGATCGATTTTTACAACCCATTTTTACTGCCCTTTATCAAAATTATTAAAAATGTTTATAAAAGATTATAACCTCATACACCTAAAAAATCCACTAAAAAACAGTATTCCAAATTACCTCTATTCTTTAATCAAATTTCGCCCCCGCCAGAAATCCTGCGAAATTCCGCAGAGATCCGCGAAATTTCGTGTCGCACCCCTCTTCTAAAACCCGGAACTTACATTTTACCAAAATGCCCACAAATTTCTATCTAGGAGCAAGTTCAACAGTCTGGACCTCAAAAACATCGGGCGGGGGGCAAAATAGTAATTTATGGAACAACGTATTTTTCCGCATGACGATATTGCCCACATTGGGCTCGGAGCGCAGCGCCAACAAACTCACGTGAACACGTGGCGTCCTCTGATTTGTGAACTCGAAGTCGTCGGGATTCAGAGCCGCATGGAAAAAAACACAAATAGGGAGGAAAGAGAAGGAAGAGATGGAGAGTATAGAGAGAGAAAGAAAACACGGGAAAAGAGGTTTAGAGAGAGAAGGTGGAGTGATGAGTGTTTTCTAGAGAGAGAAATATAGGAGAGAGATAAATAAAACACGGAAAAGTATTGTTAGAGAGAGAAGGTGGACTGAGTGTGCTCTGGAGACAGAAGGAGAGGAGAGAGGGGGAGTTTTCCTAGAGTGAGAAAGTGAGGACGAGTGTGGGAAATTTTTTTTTTTTTTCTGGGTGTGTGCGTGTGCGTTTTCTCTCAGATCTGCAACCATCTTGGTTTTGGATTAGGAAGTAACAGAGGAAATGTGTAGAGAGAGAGAATTCTAGAGAGAGAAAGTGTGTAGAGAGAGAAAGAGGGAGTGGGGTGCGAAGTGCTCAATTCCCGCTGCACTTTGCCGCCATTGTTGCTCAATTCCTGCTCAATTTTACCTGCAATTCCGTTGAATTTAGGTGGTTTTCGCAATGCATTCTGTGATAATGGAAGAAGGGGTGGAGAGGGGTTCTACTGGTGAGGCATGTGAATTTGAGGAAGAAGAAACCAGTGAAGAAGAGGAGCTCTCTGTTCTTCCGAGACACACGAAAGTGGTGGTCACTGGTAACAATCGCACCAAATCTGTGTTGGTGGGTCTTCAAGGTGTGGTGAAAAAGGCAGTTGGTCTTGGTGGATGGCATTGGCTTGTAAGCACTCGGCTTTCTCTCTTATCAATTGATTTCTCTCTCTTCAATTCCCCATCACTCTCTCTCTCTCTCTCTGCCACATTTCTTTATTCAGTTTATGCATTTTGAGTCCCCCACTTTCTCTCTCTTCTGTTTAGTTTCTGAAATGCTTCCCTTTCTACTCTGCATTCTCTCTCTATCTCTTCCTTTCTGCTTTTCTTCGTGCATTTTCAGTTCTTCTGGAATTGTGATTTTTGGTGGGTTTTTTAGCAAATTGTTTCTTGGGTTTTCTAGTTTAATGTATATGAATCTGGCTTTTTCTTTAGTATTTCTCATTGAATTTGGTTCCCAATCTAATGAAATTTCAGTGTTAATATTTTACTGACAACATGGGTTTGTAATGCAATTTTCCGTGAAACTCTCGAATGGATCTTCAATTATGCATGGGAAATGCAGGTTTAGTTCACGATTTCGGGTTTTGGATTGCTGCATTTGCATGTGCTCTTTATTTTGTATAATTAGGGTTTTTAGTGGGTGTTTTTCTCGGTTTGCTTGGATTTGCATGTTGGTTTTCATTATGGATCTGGGGTTTAAATGTGCGATTAATATCAGAATTCATGAGTTCTTATTTATTTGTAAATTACTGGTAATTTTCCATGCATGACCAGCTTCTTTGAATGTGCATTTTCATTTTCTTATTTTGTCCTGAAGAATTACTGGCTTGATCAGTTATTGAAATTTATATGGATTTTTCTGATTGTTTTTCCTGTCACTATTCAAATTTTATCTTCCCTATTATTTGTTAATTGCTCTCTGTAATCTGTTTCCCTTTCAATTTTGGGTTAAATTCCTTATTGATTGGTTGGATTTTGTCTGAGATCATTCTTGAATTTCAATATTTGAAATTAGAATTGGTTTGTGTTTATTAACCAATTCTAATTAAAAAATATCAAAATTGATTTTTTTTTAAAGGTATTCCTAAAAGGATGGGATAAGTTGATCTCTCTCTCTCTCTCTCACACACACGCACACCTTCTCTCTCTAAAAATAAGATAAAATTTAAAGAAAGTTGGGTAGTGAAAAGATTAGATTAGATGCTCTCTCTCTCTCTACCATTGATATTGGCTAAGTTGATCTCACTTTCATGAATTTCACTATATGCAACATAAAGAATCCTCAATTGCTTTTTCGGTTTTCCTGATTTTGTTGTCGGCTGCTTTTAGTCACTTACATTACCATGAAAAATAAAATAGAAAACTTTAGCCATTTAAATAAATTTTCTTTCTCATGTAAATCATCATAGCTCTCTCTTTTCATGGCCCTTTTCCATCCACTTAGTTCACTTCTTTGTTCTTGACACTGAAAGTCTCATTGCTCATGTCAATTATTGTTATTTACTTTTTTCTTTTTGACCCCAGTACAAATAGATGAGCTTCTGTTGAATGTCAATAATGTGATATTGCTTGTTTAATTGGTAGTTCATATATGAATTTTGTAGGAAGAAAATGTTTTCGTCAGCTTTTTCATTGCATAAAAGATTAGTTTCTATGAATTTTGAAAGTATTATCTTGTTCAATTGGTTTTTTTTTTTTTTTTGGATTTCAATTTTGTTTTTCTAGAGTGTGGAATTGATTGCCATTTTGTGACAAATCATGAATATGAGATGAGTCTCCATGAATTTTAATAGCATGTAGGTTTACGAACTCGCAATATTTTTGTTTTGTTGGGTAATTTCCCATTTGGGTTTTCTAGAGTGAAAGATTTTTCATTTTGCACAGTGAGAAACTTGATAAAGTTGCATTTGTTCTTGCAGGTTCTTACCAATGGCATAGAGGTGAAGTTGCAGAGGAATGCCCTGAGTGTTATTGAAGCCCCAACTGGTCACGAATCAGATGATGAGAACGAATGCGAGAACATGCAGTGGAATAGCTCAGATTTTGGTGAGAGTTTGATTGCTTCGATTTCTTTGAAAGCCATTTCTGATTTATGTGCGAGCATTTCTCTTTGATTATCTGTTTCCCTGTTATTGATTTTTTGATTACGCAAAAAAGTTTATTTTTCTGTTTTTATCATTTTCTATCTTTCATATGAGAAATTGAATTGCAATGGATTGATTTCAAAATGTGGAGAAGAGAGAGAGAGAGAGAGAGAGAGAGAGAGAGAGAGAGAGAGAGAGAGAGAGAGAGCTCTCGTTAGTTAGTTAGTTTAGTTCGTACTACTAGTAGTAGTAGTCGTCGTTACGTAGTACGTACGTACGTCGTCGTACGTACGTACGTAACGTAACCGTAAACCGTAA